CACGCGTGTCTGGGGTCGCTGGGTTAGGGTCACCGTGCCCTCACTCGTGTCTGTGGTCACTGGGTTAGGGTCACCGTGCCCTCACGCGTGTCTGTGGTCACTGGGTTAGGGTCACCGTGCCCTCACGAGTGCCTGGGGTGGCTGGGTTAGGGTCACCGTGCCCTCACGAGCATCTGGGGTGGCTGGGTTAGGGTCGCCGTGCCCTCACGCGTGTCTGGGGTCACTGGGTTAGGGTCGCCGTGCCCTCACGCGTGTCTGTGGTCACTGGGTTAGGGTCACCGTGCCCTCACGAGTGTCTGGGGTGGCTGGGTTAGGGTCACCGTGCCCTCACGCGTGTCTGGGGTCGCTGGGTTAGGGTCACCGTGCCCTCACGCGTGTCTGTGGTCGCTGGGTTAGGGTCGCCGTGCCCTCACGAGTGTCTGGGGTCGCTGGGTTAGGGTCACCGTGCCCTCACGAGTGTCTGTGGTCGCTGGGTTAGGGTCGCCGTGCCCTCACGCGTGTCTGTGGTCGCTGGGTTAGGGTCACCGTGCCCTCACGAGTGTCTGTGGTCGCTGGGTTAGGGTCACCGTGCCCTCACGAGTGTCTGTGGTCGCTGGGTTAGGGTCGCCTTCTTCCTTGTTTCAGCCAGGTTCGTGTCCTCGTGGCTGCACACGCCAGGCCACCTGGCACACAGTGTCTGGGATTCTTTTTCCTTCTTCACCTCCTACCTCATTGCAAGAGTGATGGCTCTGCAAACCCACACAGTCCCAGCCCAAGTCCTTGTGCTTATGTGGGCAGTGACTCCCACTGTACCTTCCCGCCCACCCCCCCATCCATCCACCCATCCTCCCACCCATCCATCCAACCACCCACCCCCATCCATCCACCCACTCATCATCCATCCATCCACCCATCCACCATCCATCCACCCATCCTCCCATCCATCCATCCATCCGTCACCCCCATCCATCCATCCATCCATCCACCCATCCTCCCATCCATCCATCTACCCTCCCATCCACACATCCATTCACCCACCCACCCACCCATCGATCCATCTCCAGATCAACCATCCCCCCAGATTTTCTTGTTGGTTTTGTTTACCACAAAGGAGAGGCCTAACAATTTCATTCTTAGTTTTGAATCTCTTACCCATCTGATGTTTTACCAAAAGACCTCTGAGACCTCAATCTGAGACAATGAAAAGGGGTTTCCCTCCTGTGTCTCAATCTGAGACAATGAAGGGGTTCCCTGGGTTTCCCTCCTGTGCTACCAAACATGGAGAGCAGCATCCCAAGGGGCCGCTCAGCGGGCTCCAGGACCGCACACCCCTTGTGTCCTCGACCCAATGGCTTCACTGTCATCTACCTCACTGAGCTTGAGCCCACTGAAAATGGTCTCCCTCCCCTGTTACTTCCTCTTTGGAAGCACCTTTTCTTTTCCGAGGCCGATCCTTCGGTCTCTGTCCTCCGGGATGCCCTTCCTCCTCACCCCGTCCTTACATCCCACGCTGCTCTCGTTTTATGCATCTTCTCTTTGTTTAACAAGCATATTCAGTGCTATTTCTTGAAGATGAATGTAAAAATCCCTCCCTGGAATCTTTCTCCCCCTCCCTTGCTCTCTCTGTGGTGTTTCAGAATACCAGACCCTTTGACTAACAGGATCAGTAAGATGTCCCCCTCATCAAGATTTGTGGGTAGAGATGATTGTCTTGTCTCTGCCATTCTCCGTACCCCTGGCCTCACCTCCCACCTCATTCCTCAACGTGAAAAGCAACTCCCCCTTCTAATAAATTCTCTCTCAAAATCCGTAATTGTCTCGTTTGTGAACCTACAAGATCCTTTCAAGTCTCACCTAACCGAGCTCATATGTGGGTGCAAGGATCCAACTCAGGCTTCTTGTTTACAAGGCCAGCACTTATGGGCTGGACCATCCCCCCCCCCACTCGAATGCCACTGCAGTTTTTGGACTTAAGTGGAAGGACAGCAGTTAGGGGAGCTCATTCCCCATTTCACTGACTTTGAGCTGCATGGCTGTGCCTAAAGGGAGGGTCCACACCTAGGTTCTGGAGGGAGGATGACAACGCAGGGGTCGGGAGGGTGTGGCCTCTTTCCTTACCCCTCATCAGGGCCACAGCTCCTGCTGTTGCAAAGACATGTTAACAAGAGACAAACGCATAAAAAATAACTTTGCAACAGGAGTCTTCAGACATGAAAACTCAAAGCCCTAACTGGGTGTCCGTTTTGTTTTGTTTTCGAGACAGAGTTTCTCTGTATAGTTTTGGAGGCTGTCCTGGAACTCGCTCGGTAGACCAGGCTGGCCTCGAACTCCCCAGAGACCCGCCTGCCTCTGCCTCCCGAGTGCTGGGACTAAAGGCATGGGCCACCACCGCTCGGCCCTAACTGGGTGTCCTTTTTTTTAGGTTTAGATTTGACAACACACGAGGAACAGCTGTGTAGAGACGTGTCTGCACAGAGGTTGGCACCTAACAGATACAGAGACAGGAACTCAGCTAGGCTCATCCCTTGTCAGAACCTTTCTAAGCAATACTTCTTCCTCCTAAGACCTCAGCAGAGGGGTTGATGACCTAGCGTCAGACAACATGGCTCGAAGAATTCACTTACAGGCAGTCTTTACATGGAAAATTGGAGGGGCAGAGAACTTTAAGTTTAACGGCTGGTCTTAGCTTCGATGACCCAAATAGGCAAGAGTTCTAGTTTGTGAGTGGCTCTGGGAGGGGTGGAAGGGTTGAGACTGGAGGGTGGGAGGGTGGTGGGGGTCTGCCCGAGTGCCTTCAGCAGAGAGCTCTCAGCCGGCCACTGTGCCCTGTCCTGAGAGACTCGGAGACCCCAGCAGAATTAGGGTGACTGGGAAAGGGCGAGCTAACCCAGGGAGACTCAGCCTGGCCCGCAGCACCCCTCACTCTCAAACCTCACAGCTGCCCCAGGACCACCGTCACAGCACAGATCAGTTCCCTGACCCCGGCCTCCTTCGCCCCCTCAGACCTGTGCTGCTTTACTTCAAGATGCTCCGCTCACGCCCTGCCCGCTCATGCCCTGTCCACTCACGCCATTTTCTGGCCTCTCAGCCTCGGGCCCAGCTCTTTGGTCAGCACTCACCACAGCACATACGGGCATTCCCACTGCTCCTGCCCTCTGGGAGGCCTCCTGCCCGTGTCCCATGGGCCCTACTGTGAAGACCTTCAGACACTGGAGTATGGGTATGTCCCCAGAAACAGCGTTAACACAGTACCAAACAGAAGCCCAGACCCTTGTCCTGATTTAACTGAAACAGACCCCAATGCCCAGGCTGACATTCAATCTCTTAGTTTCTTTCCTGGCCTCTTTTCTCAAATCGAGCCCCGACGTACCCCACCCCAAAGATCCAACTCCTGGGCCCAGCCCGACGGGAGGGACACATTTCTACAGCAACCACTGCTCTCGGTAGACACTGAGTCAACTTTTGGGGATCCCTGAGGTCCCTCCCCACCGCCGCCATGGTGGACAGGATGCCTGGTACCAGGGGGTCAGAGGAAGCCGGGGCCTCTGGGACTCAGTATTTTTATCAGCCTAGGAAATGAGAGATGCAGAAGCGGAAACCATGTGGTCAGAGAAAGTGAACAGCCTGCATCTCAGGGGAACCCCCACCAGAGCTGGGGGCCAGACACTGGGGGGGCCGAGAGGGAGGTCTGCCGGCAGGGCAGGGGGAGCAGGTACCGGCGTATTTTGGTTTCGCGTTATTTGTGTAGAGGAGGACGCCCGGTGTTTTCAGTCCACACCAGCACCGCTCCTCTCAACCCCAGCTCAAGAGTCCGGACTCCCCATGGGCTCTTGGCATGCCACTTCCGAGATCCCCAGCCTGAGAGAGGAACCGGATGCCGGGGCTGCTCACAGTTCCAAGACTTCTCCGAATCACAGCAGTTTCCTCTCATAGAGCTCTCCCTCCCGCAGCTCAACATCTGCTTGGTAATGGGGCGAGGGGGCTTGGGCCTCTGACTAACGTCCCCGATGTCTCCTCGGTCCCGGGTCTCAGGCTGTGCAGCCCTGACAATTCCCTGTCAGATCACACACAACCACACACACTACACACCTGCACAACACTTTCTCTGTCTTGCCTCTACTTTAAAAAAACAAAAGATCTGAGTTCCCAGTTGTGTGGTAGGTGTTGGTAGTGGGATCTGCCTACAGTTTCTCCATTTCCAGAGAGAGCTGCTGAATTCGAACAGTGGTACAGATGGCCTTCCCCTAGTCCACCTTCCAGGTCTCAGGCCCCTTTCTCTCTGGCCCCTAGGCCCCCAACCCTGGGTTCTTGGGAAGGAGAGGATTATGTGGAAGGCCAAACCTGGGTTGCCCAGAGCTGAAGCCCAGGTTTACTTAGGGTCTGGGAGTGGAACAGTAGATGCCAGGTTGGAGGCAGAGGGGGAGCTGTCCAGGAGCCCGGACAGGCTCGGGTGTGGATCTCTGGTTGCCCAAGAACAGACAACCCGGTTACATAATCTGGCTATTTCCAGCCTCCTTCCTGCTTCTAATTTTAGCAGCTGAAATCCCCTCCCCCACAGGCTCTTTCTGCACCCCTCTTCCTACTCTTCATCCTCCCAGTCCTTATGGTCCCCAGCCCTGGCACCCCCGCCTCAGCTCCTTCAGTGACTCAGCACAGGGAAAGCCCTGTGTTGGGTAGGGGTGCCAGCGGGGAGGAGGGTAGGGGTGCCATGGGGAGGATGTGGTTCTGCTTGGGGAGCACGGGGGAAGGAAAACGGTTTGTTCCCCTTTTTGACACTTGTTCACATCTGTCTTCAACTGTGGACTGCAGAGTGGTCAGGACCCCAGGGGAGGGAGCAGAGGGGGTTTGAGGGACAAACTGGGCCTTCTAAGGGCTGACCCCGAGGGAGGACAGGCGGGCTTCTGGCCTCTGTCGGATTATGTGCCGCAGGTGTGTGGGAGCTGCGGGTTTCGACAGTTGGGCGGGAAAGATGTCGTGGGTGATGAAAACCATAGGGATGGAAAAAGCAGAAGACTCTGGAGTGAGATGTGGAACCAGGTCTTATTAGGAAATGGCAGAGTCGAGAGCAGTGGTAGAGCCTCCCCACCCACCCCCGCACCCATTACGTGAGCCTGCCCCAGATCCTCTCTGAGCAGCAGCTAAGCTGCCTCTTATCCATCCCCATCCACGACCTTCCACCTCTCCCTGGCGACATCCCCACAGGGTCTTGCTCATCCCCTAGGTCACTTGAGGGCTTCTGCATGGCGGTTCAGGGCCTGAGAAAGGGCGGTCACAGTTCCCATCACACGGCCCAGCTCCCAGGTCTCAATCTGGCTCCGGAACCTCTGCAGGAAGCGGTCAGGGTGCCAGCGGACCTGCTGGACTCTCAAGTACCTCCTCAGAGCCCCCTGTTCCTCCAGAGGGGGGCCTCTGGCCACCAAGGCTGCAGCCATGGCCTCTGGGTCCCCTCCGCCAGGGCATGGCCAGGGCACATCACCGAAGCGCCAGAGGCTGCCCCTCCCTGCCCCTCGCGGGTGCTCTGCCCTGGGCCCAGGCCTGGGAGGCCCCGTCCCTCTGTCCACTTGAGCCTCTCGAGCCCTCCTGGCTCGGCTCTCACGCAGTTCCTCCTCCTTGGCCCGCGCTCGCTCTCGGAAAAGCCTCTGTTCCTCCTCTTGCTGCCGCCAGCTGTGACTCGAGCCCTCAGCCCTTTGGGTTCGGCCGGACCTCTCTGTCTCCAGCTGCCGCCGCCGTTTCTGGGCATGCTCTCGAGCCAGGCGGTCTGACCAGGCTGAGAAGGACTCGGGTTCCTGCATCTCATGGGAGGCATCCTCTGTTTGGGAGGAGGGAGGAGGTTGTTGGAGGGACGGATAGTGAGATGCAGAGGGGAGGGCCTGGGGCAGAGAACTCTAGGGGAGGGAGGGCAGGCGGCTATGGGTGGCAGTGACCTCCTCACCTTCAAACCTCCCGATGACCTCCTGCCACTCATCCTCCAGCTCGCCCTGCAGCTTCTGCTGCCATTCCTGCTCCTTGGAGACCTCCTCATCCTCTTCCTCTTCAGCAGAATCCCAGGGGGGTCCCCAGCCCAGAATCTGCCCGGGCGTCTCCCCATCCTTATTCTTTATCCCCATGGCGGAGGGGCATCGACTCAGCAGCGGCAGGAAGAAGTCTGTGTACGCTGCAGGCAGAGACAGCGAGCTGGTCAGCTGGGGCTCGGGACCCGAGGACCACCGTCTGGGAGTCTCTAACTCCTCCTGGGTATGAGGAATAACCACCCTGACATTTACTAATTACATGAGCCGTAAGTGTGGAAGTCTAGAATGTTCCGACTGCTCCCACAGACAACTTCCGTTCACTCCAAGTGGCAAACGACATTTTCTGGCCGCAGCCCCTGCCACCTAGGACAGCTTCAGATTCCTTTGACTATTTTTTTGGTTTTGGTTTGAAACTATTACCACTATATGCCTATTCCTAACTATGGTTCTCGCCCAAAACTACATATTAAGATCACCACTGGGCAGTCACCACTGCACACCTGAAATGCCAGCACTCAGGAGGCAAAGGCAGGTGAGTCTGAGTTCCAGGCCAGCCTGGTGTACAGTGAGTCTCAGGGTGGGCTCCAAAGCTACATAGTGAGACCTTGTGTCAAGAAACCAAAAACCAGAACAAAACAACAACAAAAGAATAGCAATAGAGGATATCAAACAGCATTGAGCATTTAATATTTCTGCCCAGTAACGCAGAGAGAAGTAAATGTTCTCTGCAGAATTTCTCAGCCTTACCCAAGCATGGGAGGCAGCAATGGGCACGGATCACAGACGCAGCCATCAGCAGAGCCCCTCAGGGGGAGTCGACCACAGTGACGGCTGGCGCGTGCAGGGGGAGGACAGGAAAGAACCAGGCATCCCGGGTACCTGTTTCTAAACCCTGAGCTCACCAGGTAGAGACTACAGGGGGCGCCAAATGCCGGGCAGCGAACTTCGCCTCACTCTCAAGGGAGGCCACCACCTGAGCCGGACTGCCTCATTCAGGAGCCAGAGGCAGACAAGTGGAGCGGCCTTCCCACCCTGTGAGCCTCTTTTGTCTCCTAGAGCAGGAGGAGATGGGCGCCAGGCCTGGTTGGTTCCAGTAAGTACCATTCACTCACCAACAGGAGGATGGCGTAGAAGCAGGGCTGACCTGTCAGTGCCAGGAAGACGCAAGGGCCTACCCTTGGCTACCCAAGGTGCCAAGCCCCTGGGAAACCACATCAGGGTGAGGTTTGCTGCTGTGACCTGCCACAAACCCTCCCGAGCTGTCCCAGTTAGCAACTGCTCTGCTTCCGTCTTTCATCTTCTTCCAGCAGGGTTCACAAGGGTGTGTGTGCAGAGCACAGAGAGTGTGCGGTGTGTGTTTACACGAGTGTGTGAGTATATAGCATGCGTGCTTAGGTGTGTGGATGCAGCATGAGTGTGTCCAGGCTTGCAGAGACTGTTGAACTCAGGAGTTTTGGGTTTTTGTTGCTGTTTACCAACACACCCAGCTTAAAATTATAACTGTTAACGGTTTGCTGCAATCCCCCAGCCCCGCCTTGGTCCATATAAATGCACACTTGGCTGTGACCACGTACTATACATACTTACTCAGAGGTATGCGACCAGCTTGGCAACTTGCTTTTTTAAAATGTTTTTTCTGAAATACCCAATTTATTTTATAGGTTTTGAGGTGTGTGTGTGTGTGTGTTTGTGTGTGTATGTGTGTGTGTGTCCAGAAACCTTCAAGCCTTCATGTCTGTTGACGTGGTCAGTATCTGCTCAGGGTAGATGCCATGCGTCAACGCATGTACAAGCCTGCAGGCTGTTCTCAATGTCTGTGCCTGCCTTCCCTAACTGTACACACACGCCAACATTTTCATGTTGCTAATGGGACAGATCAAAAATGGCTTTGGTAAAAGGTCAGGCAGTGACACACGCCTTTAACCATAGCACTTGGGAGACAGAGGCAGACAGATCTCTGTAAGCTTGGCCAGTCTGACCTACAGAGTGAGTTCCAGGATTTATTTTTTTTAAAAATATTTCTGGCTACTAGTATTTATTTTGTGAATAACCTGTTCATATTCTTCAGTTTTTTCTTTGGAAATTTTTTCATATCCATACACATATGAAAGTCCTTTGTTTTTTGTGTATGTAGCCTTGGCTGTCCTAGAACTCTGCAGATCAGGCTGGCCCTGGACTCAGAGATCCACCTGCTTCTGCCTCCCAAGTGCTGAGCTGCCTCCCAGCCCCTAAACCAACTTTCCAATGTTCATTAGCATAGCCTCTCCCTCCCTCCCTTTCTCCCTCCCTCCCTCCCTCTCTCCTTTTTTTGAGATAGGGTCTCACCATGTAGCTCAGGCTGGTTTAGAATTCACAGACATTGGCTTGTCTCTGCTTCCTGTCTGCTAACATTAAAAGGTTTGTGACATTGCCAGGCAGTAATAGTGCACATCTTTAATCCCAGCACTTGGGAGGCAGAGACAGGTGGATATCCATGAGTTCAAGGCCAGCCTGGTCTAGAGACAGAGTTCCAGGACAGCCTCCAAAACAATACAGAGAAACCCTGTCTCAAAAAACAAAAACAAAAATAAACGAACAAAAGCAGGATTTCCCCCCCCCCACCTCTAAAAGCACAGCATTTCTAGTAAGGGAGGGAGGGAGGCTCCGCAGAGACTGAGCATTTGCCTAGTGTGTTCCAACACTCTGGCTGGGACTTCAGCACCACAGACAAGAACAACACACTCGTGCAGGTCAGCTGACCCAGCCAGACTTTCTGCAGTACGGAGACCCAAGGGTAACAGATGTCTCACTCTCTGCAGTACAGACCCAAGGGTAACAGATGTCTCACTTTCTGCAGCACGGAGACCCAAGGGTAACAGATGTCTCACTTTCTTGGGACAGGGAGCCCCCTGTTCTGGCCTGGCCAGTGTCTCTCTTCACAGTCAGTCTGGCTTGACCAACTGGGTTCACCTGTGAGTCAGGAGTCCATGTTCTCAGAGGATGCCCTGGTTTAGAGCAAACCTCAAGTCCGTACTAAACTGGTAGGGCTGCTGCCCTCTGAAGGCGCTTTCTGGGGTTGGGTTACAACTCTGGTAGGACACAAGATGGGTTTCATGGCCCCTACTCACCCTGAGACATATTCCCAAACACTGGTCTAGATCCTGTCTTCAACCTCCACCCAACCTCCAGCCCCTCCCCCGGCGACACTCCTCCCTGCCTCCAACTGCACCTCCTCCTCACCCACACATTCTCCCTCACACACTCACTCAAGGACTTCATATAGGGAACCCAGGGAACAATTAGCACCGTGACAAGGCAGCTAACAGACCTCAACACTATCCGGGTATGTGCCCCCTTTCCCTGACAGATGTGTCCCAAACACAACTGCTCTAGGTCCATCGGATCCAGTAGACTCTCCAGTCTCCACCACCCGACAGCCTCCATCCCCTTCATCCTTCTGTCTCTCTTTTCCCCTCCCCTTGATCCTCCAGGAAAAGTTACCATTTACTATTTCCTTCAGCCTTTTTTGTTTGTTTTGTCTGAGACGGGGTTTCTCTGTATAACAGCCCTGGCTGTCCTGGAACTCGCTCTGTAGACCAGGCTGTCCTGGATTAAAGGCGTGCGTCAACCCTGCCCCAGCTTTTCCCTTCAGTTTTTTAGGGCTCAACACACAAGATTCTTGGCTGTGGCTCCTGTCTTATGCTTAGACTAAGACAATCCCATCTAAGATCAGCTGCTATCCTTGCCAGCTTTGACAGGAACTTTATTTATTTATTTATTTAGTTTTTGTTTTTTTCGAGACAGGGTTTCTCTGTGGCTTTGGAGGCTGTCCTGGAACTCGCTTGGTAGACCAGGCTGGTCTCGAACTCAACAGAGATCCGCCTGCCTCTGCCTCCCAAGTGCTGGGATTAAAGGCATGCGCCACCAACACCCGGCGGAACTTTTTTTAAGCATAGAAGAGTACATGCGCATGGGGGGGGGTAGGGGTGGGATGTAAAACAAATAAACAAACAAAAGAACCAATGGCAAGGGAAAAGCTAACACTTACAAAGCCTTGCATGTGTGTTCAATGGACCTGAAAAGAGTAATCCCAGTCCTGAAAGCTGCATCTCGTGGCCACTGTGGGACTTCCTGGAGATGTGAGAATGTTTTGTTCTTCACTCTACCTCCTCTTTGTGAGCTCATTATCTGCTGGAGATCGAACCCTGGCAGCCATGGTCAGAACCCCAGTCCGCTCACGCACTGTCCAGCCATCCACAGTCCACCAGGTTCCTAGAGTCTCGGTTTCCTTCTCACTCACAGCACGAGGATGCTAACAGTACTTGTGTCCTGGTTTTATGGGGGGGGAATGTTTAGTGCGTCCTAATAAGCACACAACCAATCTGAGGCACCTGACTGATTTCAGTCGCTTCTGATACTGTACAGTAGGGAGACGAATAATGTGATAAAGACAGGAATTTTTGTTTAAAAATAAAAATCCCCCCCAAAAGAAATCCAAGCAGCACTGAGGACCCTGGACAGACAGAGCCTCCGTCTGACGACGTCGTGTCTGCGGGGTATCTTGGGCTGCCACCTCACGCGTGGGCGCACTGAAGATTCACACCTCTGGCAGAGAGGTGAACACAGGGAAAAGAGGAGGCGTGGGCGGAGGCGGGGGTGAAGAGAGGCTCTGGGTAAGGAGGGTGAAAGGAACGGGCTGGTTTTAGTTAAGAAAGACATAAAGTCGCTGGACTGTTCCGAAGTGGAAAAGAAGCGATGAGGGCAAGCTAACGAGCGTAAGCTAACGAGCGTGAGCGCGTGGGAGACGCCTAGTGAGCCACAAGAAAGCCGGCAGCGGTGAGGTGCTGGTTCGCTCCCCGAAACCCAACATCAGTGTGCACCCGCCCACAGCCAAAGCCCCGGCTCTGCTCCCCAGGTCTCCTGAGACGCTGCTGCTGCCCGCTCTGAAGAGCGTCTGCCAAAAGCTGATCTTCACTTGTCCTGATGATTGTTCTCTGCTGAGTTTGGCAGGCTTTCTGTTACTTTGGAAACTGAATTTTGCCAGGCAGTGGCGGTGCAAAATTTAATCTCAGCGCTTGTGAGGCAGAGGCAGGATGATCTCTGTTTGTTCCAGGATAGCTTAGTCTATATGGTGAGTTCCAGAACAGCCAGGACTATGTAGAGA